TTCAAACATTCAAGCATTCAAACAATTCTCTGTACTGGTGTCTCTCCCCCCCGACACCGCATTGCATCTTGTAATAGCTTTCATTATCATCAATACAATCATCAGCTTTCATCATCAATTGCTCATTTTCCGCTGCTCAATTGCTCACGACATTGGTTTTTCCGTACAGCACTGACAATCTAGTCTAGTGTACGGCGAGGACCTCGGTTGGCGCATAGCAACCACACTGACATCGGTTGCTTAGCCTTACGTCGCCCTTCCAAGGAACTTCAGGAAGGCGCCGCGTAACAGTACTCATGACATGGCAGCAAGATGACCAAAATTGGCATGTATTGTATCAAATCAAATGTTGTCCCTAAGTCATGAAATTTCGTGTCACAAGTATGCTGCTCCAAATTGAAAACCACACATATGTTCACTAAGATATGAATTGTACTAACACCACTTAACTTTAATAAACCAATAAACTGAATTCAACACAATCTGAAGTACAAAGAATGAAAACCTAAGACCAAAAGCATAAACTATATTCACAAAAAAAGGGTGTACACAGAAAGAAGCATACAAGTGCATGTCTATTCTCTACCGCACAACAAAATTTAAATAGTTATTTTCCTTTGAATAAACTCTTTACTAGTCCTTCCATCCAAACTCAATGGCTCGTGTCTCCCACAGTGCAGAGAGCTTACGCTCTTCTATCAGTGCAGCTTGAGCCTTCTCCCTACCTCCCTCACATGTATCTATCCCTATGTTGCACTTCTCTGATTCTTTTTGATAGTGTGAAGATGCTCTTTTGGCGCTCATAATTAGAACCTTGGTGCGATCCAGAACGTCATTAGTAACATTCTTCTGCAAGTTAAGCTCCTCTGACAGTAAAGTTGCAATATCCTTCTTCATCTCTTCATTCATTTGAGGATCGTCTTTACCACAGTCTGCATCCACAACAAACAAAATAATGCAAAGATTTGAAAACCAAGTTAAACCACTCCTTAACTTTTTCAGGGACTAAATGAAGCAGTGAACTAACCTGCCAATGAGCTGTTTAAGATGTCTGCAAAACAACACATAATAGGAGATGAGAATCAGCAGGAAAGAGGGGGAAAACAATTACAGAGAATATCAAGGATGTCAATTCGGACAAATGTATTTCCGACAGTTATGCTGTTTTTCCAACATCAAACAGCAAGAGAAAAGCGGAACTACTGAATAAAGATATACCTTAACATTTTCTTCTACCAGTTAAATAGAAGGCTATAAGATTCAAATACCTTGCACGTTGATTTAGAATTAAAACTGTAGCATAGTATTAAATATTTGAAGCATAAGATATATTGATTTAAGCATCATCACTTATATGTAAACAATCCTCCTCCTCTTCAAAAGTAGAGTACCTCTACTCTTAGTTGATTTTGAAGGCATTCAGTCTCTCCAATCAGGCCAAGGGAATAAATCATTTCAGCAAACTCTTGGAACTACTCTTTCTTGAACCCTCTCTTGTACTGCATTTTGCTGATGTAAATTTATCAAAAAGCTCTCATTTTTAAAGAAGCTTGACTGGCATAAAGAATTTCTCTCATGTGCCAGCAACATGCAATAGTTCCTCTTTCAGTACACTAATTCTCATATGAACCTTGAATTAGAAATTTCACTTATAGTGCCTTTCGCTAACATTTTGTTTAAAACTTGAGATCTGCACCGGTTCTCAACAAATCAATTTCCCAGAAGACATAACTTAAGATCAACTGCCTGAACTCCTGGTTACGAATTTGGAAGTATAACTATACACAGCATTTGGTTTTATACAAGGACGATATAGTCTTTGAATATATAGCACAATTCACTCCTTCAACTTACTTCTGTCATGATTATTCTCTTGCCACACTCAAATAGGAACATATGGTACCTCCAAGGTTTCAAGTCACAGAAATTACTTCTAACATCTAGTTTTAGTTTATTCTCCACCTTATATAAGTGGTAACAACTAACAAGCGAGGTCATATAAATTTGAGGATTCGACCAGTTTTTTCAGTTCAATAGAAAAATGAATCATTAACTCACCAAATTTGATGACAAGCCAACCCCATGAAAGCATCTACATTACCTTATCAAAAAGAAAGAAAAAATTCCCAAGAAGGCTTAAGAGTTTCCGTTTAAAGAATCAATTCACGTCCCCAGAGAATTCCACATGTATTTCACAAAACTGAATCAAACGAGTGCAAACATAGATTAAAGGCATAGCAGGTACAAGCGAAGGCGTTAAACAATATCATATCACTTAAGCAGCATTTCAACTTTAATTAAATGAACTGGTGAATGCTACATGCTTCAATATATAATCAGGCATTATGTTTAGTCATTAGGATCAAATTAGGCAACATATAAGTACACAACCTATACTTTTTTTGGTCCATTAACAAGCATTTGGTAGATAAGCAAGACTTAGCATCCAAAGAAAGATGTGAACTGACCTAAAGGCAGGGAGAGCATGGATTCCTCCTCACAATCACAGAAACACGGAGGACATGAACCCACAGCCTTAGAAGAGGGGCGCAATCTTGGCGGTCTGACCATGTAAACAACCAGAAACAAACCCACCAGAACCATAACAAATCTCACTGTCCCCCTACCAGAGGACCTCTGGTCTGATGGGTAAGCCATAAAAAGTGCCCCTAAAACAACAGTAGAAGTTCCAAAAACCCAACTTGTCAGGGAAATAGAAACAAACAAATAGGACAAACCAAATCTTTTTACTTTCAAAATGAAATTACAAGAAGACAACAAAAGAACAAATCTGAAAAACCCAATTTCACATCTCATCCAAAAAACTACATTTTTTCATACCTGGGTCAAAAGAGATAAAAACTTTATTACGTTATCTTTAACTCAAACTCAATCATTTGAGCAAGTCTGAACAAAAACCCACTTTAACAAAATGGATATATAAATGCCTTGTGAACCACCAAATGGAAAAGACTTTATAAAGCACAAAGTGATTGTAGTGAGTAGTAAGCTCAATATTCTATGAGACAGAGAGGCTTATCAAAAACCAAATGTCCGCTGAGGTGTTTTGAGTTATTATTAGGGAAAGTAAAAGTGACTCAGATCCCAAAAAGGAGAGAAACGAAATTTATGGGGTTCCTTGCAGATGCAACATTACTAGAACAGTTGTGTAGAGAGAAAATCGGAGACATTATGTAGTGAAGAAGAAGTCCATGCTTTTTAATGAAAGTAGTAAAGCTAGTATTTGATCATGATTCAAACACTAGAATAGGTGTATTAGAAGTAATCACATTTGAATTAAAGTTAATCAAAACCGGGAAATGTGGTTGTGGGGAAGCTAGAGTAGTTATATTATTGAATGGACCTATTACAGTTTATGATTTTGCTTCGCCCATTTTTTAAGTCATACTTCCTCCGTTTCAATTTATGTGAACACATTTAACTGGGTACTTAGTTTAAAAAAAAAAAATTTAAAATTATAGTGTAAAATGAGACACATATATTTTGTGTGACTATAAATCATTGCATAAAGTTAAATTATTTTCAAATAAGGAAAGCGGTCATTCTTTTTTGCACGAATTAAAAAGAAAATAGGTTCGAAACAGAAGCAATATCATTATTCACTCACCCTAAACTTTTTGGCCCCCTCCCGCCTACTCCCCTCCCAAAACCCTGCATGTGTGCGCGCACACATATATAACACTACAGATTATTCAATGGATTGTTACATAAATAGCCGTCAGATTCAATGTTTATATTTTCTAATCGGTATATATAAATTATATATTAATTAAACACTACTATGCATATATTATACATCTGACGGTTATTTTTAGTTTAAGAGATTAGGTAGATAACTATTTGGGATAATTCTTCTTATTTTTTCAATTTGATTTGAAATTTGAAAAGGCAAATTAGACCTCTACAAGCGGACTATAGAATATGGGCCAAGCCACTTGAACAATTGACTACATGCGATTATGTAATAGCCCGTTACTTTATTATTTATCCTCTACATGCATTTAATGATACGATGTGCCAAAGTATGACTTGGACTTGTTAAAATTTTCACATATGTATGTTGGAGGTGTGAGAGAGATGTTGGATGGGTGCTTGAGCCTGAATTGAGTATGGTTGAGATGGTGTGGATGTTAGAAGAAAGATAGTAAGGTAGCACAGAAATATACAAACTATTTAATATTATGTATTGACAATTTTAAAAAAGAAAAAGAAACTTAAGAAAACCTCTTTTCTTTTAACAAATTTTGCTTAGTTATCGTTGAATTTATAATATCCAACACCAAACCATTATGGTGGAAGGGGATTTTTGTCCCATTAGGAACTTGAGGAATAGTGTAAGTATACTATATTTTTGGAGGGTACTATGTCGAATTCACCTTTAATTAAATGGCATTAAGAGAGCAACAAATAAAAAGACCAGAAATCAAATAATGAGGGTTCAAGCAGGTAAAATGAAATAATAGTGACAAGTGACAGAGAGAAAGGGAAAAGGAGTTGAAAGACAATATTATTTCAAAGGATACCACAAGCCAAAAGTAAGTTAAAAGTATCAAAATTAAGCAAAATAGAAAAAATATTAAATAAACAGACGTGCTAAAAGACTTGTTTTGGTTCCTGGAGACTGGCCAGTGACCACCTGATACGAATGTAATCACAGCTAACGTTCACATAATATATTACCCAAAATACAATTTTAAATCCAAGCAAACAAGTTTAAAAGAGGAAAAAAGAAGAAAATCTCTCAAGTAAAGCAGGTGTGAAAAGACGAAACCTCTCAAGTCTCAATTTAAAATAATTCAGTGGAATCATATGGCAATTAAATATTAAACAGTCAAGAAAGAGAAGAAAATGAAGCATTCCAACTTTGACTCCTTGTGTCGTAGTAGGTAGTCTGTTTCCTCCACTCTATAGATAGTGAAATAATATAATCATAGTACTGCTAGCAAAAGGATAATAAAGAACGACTAATTAATATCAGGAAAAGCATCACGTTACTTATTTTCACGAGGATGATGATCGATATCCCACATGCCTCAGACAATTAGTATTGCTATTCGAAGCTTCAACTTTCCTTTCTGGTCACAGTCCCACACGGTTTAAGGTATCTAAAATAAAAATTTATTGCCATGCATTTCTTGTTCTACTTAAAATAGGCAAATTATTGATCTGTTAGCCATAATATAATACAACAACCAAAAAAAAAAAAGAATCCATATTTTTTATCATCCCATGTGCCTCATACAAGGTTTTGCTATTTTTACGTCTCACATCAGCTGAAGCTTCAATTTTCCATTCAGGTCACACTCTCTATGAGAAGTCAAATTATGTTTTCCCAGCTTTTCTTGATCCTGCTACTCTCCATCTGCTGTAGAATGAGTTATGTAGTGGCCGCAGCTAATTCCAGCAAATGTCTTCAGGATCAGAAGGTGTTGCTGCTGCAGTTCAAAAATAATCTTACTTATGATTCTGAAGTATCCACCAAGCTGGTTAAGTGGAATCAGAGGATTGACTGCTGTCAATGGCAGGGCATCACCTGCAATGATGCAGGGCAAGTTATTGGTCTTGACCTTAGCTATGAATCGTTCTCCGGCAGTATCAACCAGTTAGCAAATCTTAAGTTTCTCTCTGTTATCCGTCTTGATGTGAACAATTTATCTGCTCCAATTCCAGACTTCTTTTTAGACTTCTCCAATCTAACTGTCTTGAGTCTATATTCCTGCAACTTGATAGGAGAAGTGCCTCAGAAGATATTCCAGGTATCAACTCTGCAGACTATTAACTTATCACAAAATGAACTTTGGGGTTCTTTACCTGAATTTCCTTCAAATGGATCTCTACACACTCTGGATCTGAGCTATACAGGATTCTCAGGAAGTATTCCCACGTCCATCGAGAACCTTACGATGTTGTCGCATGTTGACCTTAGGTTATGTAATTTTACAGGTTCAATTCCATCTTCTATGGAAAATCTAACCCAGCTTTCTTATCTGGATTTCAACTGGAATAGCTTCACCGGTTCTTTTCCAACTTTTAAGCTGTCCAAGAACCTCACCTATATAACTGCTGCTGGGAATAATTTGACAGGAATATCATCGGACTGGGAAGGCCATGAGAATCTTGAGTATCTTGACTTGAGTAATAATTCACTTTCTGGGCTCATTCCATCATCGTTCTTTCACCTACCCTCACTTGTGAGTTTATATCTGGCCAACAACAAATTTTCTGGGCAAATAACTGAATTACAAAATGTAACTTCTCCACTAGTAACTCTTGACTTGAGTGCCAACAAATTGGAAGGGCCAATACCTGAGTTTTTCTTTGAGCTACACGATCTCGGAACTCTTGCACTTTCATCCAACAATTTCAGTGGAACTGTGCACTTGAAGAAGTTTACAAAGCTCAATAACCTTGGAAGCCTTGATCTATCCCACAACAGCTTATCAATTGACACAAATATAAGTGAATCAGACTTTGCCTTGCTCCCCCAGCTTGGTGGTTTATTCTTGGTGTCGTGCCACCTGCAGAATATCTCCTTCCTCAAGAACCAATCCAGCTTGCAGATGCTAGATCTCTCAAGCAGCCAACTTACTGGTGAAATACCAAACTGGTTGTGGGAAATCAATGATGGAAATCTACGTTTTCTGAATCTTTCTGGCAATCAATTCACGCATTTTCAAGAGCCTTATAGATTTGGCATTCTAGATTTCCTTGATCTGCATTCAAATATGCTCACTGGAAATATTCCACTACCACCAATAGCAGCTAAATACGTGGACTTCTCCAACAATAACTTTGCTACTTTGATGCCGCCTGACTTTGGCAATTATCTTGAAATTGCTTGGTTCTTCTCAATTGCAAACAACAAAGTTATTGGCAATATCCCTTCTTCAATCTGCAAGGACAGCTATCTTGAAGTACTTGATTTGTCTAACAATAGATTGAATGGCACAATACCACCATGTTTGGCAGAAACGAGCAGCACACTGAAAGTATTGAACCTGGGAAAAAACAAACTTGCAGGAAATATACCACGAAATTTTTCTCATAACTGTCAGTTACAAAGCCTTGATCTCAGTCAGAATCTCTTATCAGGTCAGCTTCCTCGTTCTTTGTCCAACTGCACAAATCTAAAGCTAATGAATCTGGGAAACAACAAGATCAGGGATACCTTCCCCTGCTGGTTGAGGAACTTATCCAATTTGCACGTACTTGCATTACGCTTCAATCGTTTCCATGGGAACATTGATTGCTCTGGAATGAGTTCCAACTGGACAGCTCTTCAAATCATTGACCTAGCTTCCAATAATTTAAGGGGCATTCTATCCCGAAATTCATTCTTGGAGCTAAATGCAATGACTGCTGATCCAGCTATAGCCCATTCACGCTTTGATCACTTGCATTTTGAGTCTGTATCTGTTAGGCCAATTTACTATCAGGATACAGTCGGTCTTTTTCTTAAAGGACAAAACATGACATTGGCAAAGATCCCCGTCTTCTTCACCTCCATTGATTTTTCAAGTAACAATTTTGTGGGGGACATATCAGAGACAGTTGGAGATCTCAAATCACTTTATCTTCTCAATATTTCACACAACAATCTCACAGGTCAAATCTCTCCAGCATTTGGAAATCTGAAGCAATTGGGATCACTGGACCTGTCATTCAACAAGTTAGATGGAAATATCCCAGAAAAGCTTGCTAGCCTCACATTTCTTTCCTTCTTAAATTTATCATATAATGAACTGGTTGGAGTGATACCACGAAGTACCCAATTTGATACCTTTGCGGAAAGTTTCAGAGGAAACAAGGGGCTATGCGGGTTTCAGCTGAATAGAACTTGCAAAAATATTTCAGCAGTAGCACCTTCAGAGCCAGAATTTGAGGAGGAGAATTTAATTTCAAGGACGGAGATTTATGTAAGCATTATGTTAGGATTTGCTGTTGGCATTGGGATCATCTTTCTACCACTTTTGTTCTCTAAAAGATGGAACCAGTCGTACAACAAACTAGTTGACAGATGGATTTTAAGGATATTTGAGCAACGAGATCATGATGGGATAACGAGTAAGAGCATTAGCGAACCATCTTGGAAGAAGACGGAAATCAACAGGTAGTCATTAGGTTCACGAAATGATTGCAGAGAAAGGTTTATGTTTCTTATTCTATTGGACTCTGTATGGCAAGATAACAGTTTTGAGCTGAAGTCCTTCCTATTTTTTTGAAGCAATTGCAGTCCTTTTTTGCCAGAATAAAGAAACAGTCCTTGTACATTCCTCCATCTTGTAATACTTCAGTATATAATTGTTTCCACTGTGAGTTATCAGTGTTTCGTAATTGCTGGTCCATTCATTTTGATTGCTACTTATTAGATAGCAAAGTAGTTTGTCAACCCATAAGATAAAAGTTTAAATTTAAAAAGACGCAATCTTGCTTTCTACTTTGTAATTGTAGGAAACATCAGTGCATAGTCATAACGAACCTGATAACTACTATACTGACTTAATCAAAGTAAAACCGGCACCAGCACGTTCTTCCCCTGAAAGTGAATGATTTGTAGAAAAATCCATCTAAATAAACAGTTTAAAACTTTTATTGCAGCAAGTAGAGAAAGAATGTCCTAATGGATATTCATGTAACGCTCTCAAAAAGTAAATCAAAGCATAGCATTGTCAGAAGCCAAAAAAGAAAATAATATTACCTCAGGTCAACTTCGAAGAAGCATTTCCACAACCACCTGCTCAGCACTAGGCAGGTGAGAGTTGTATTTATGCTACAAGAGTTAGAATTGAGCTTTTAGAATATGGTCTCATTATTAGTAGGAGTATTTTTCTCTTTACTTAATATCCAGGTCAAGTCAAACTGGGTTGGCATTGTTGGATCTATCGAACAACCAAATCAGAGGTGAAATACCAAGCTGGATATGGGAACTTTTCACAGAGAGAGCCATTCAGTGAATCTATCTCATAATCAATTCTCACATTTACAAGCACCCTTTAGAGTTGGCTTTCTAAATTCCTTTGATATTCATGCAAACCTGCTTACCGGTGAAGTCCCATTACCATCACCTACAGCACTATATGTGGACTTGTCTAGCAATAAATTTGATGGTTTTATCTCACCTGATTTCAGCAATCACCTCTCAAATGCCTTCTTCAATATGCAGTGCGACCTATCTTGAAGTACTTGACTTGTCCAGCAATAGTTTGAGCGGCAGTATACCATCATGCTTAGCTAAACAAAGCCTGACAGTACTGAACCTTGGAGGAAACAATCTCAGAAGTAATATGCCTGGAAACTTTTCAGAGGAGTGTCGCTTGGAGACAATAGATCTAAGCCATAATCTCTTGGAAGGGAAGATTTCTCGGTCTTTATCCAATTGCAGCAATCTAAAGGTGTTAAAAGTGGGGAGCAACAAGATAAGTGATTCCTTTTCCTGTTGGTTGAGAAGGTTGTCAAATCTCCATGTACTTGTGTTACGCTTCAATAATTTCAATGGCAACATTGATTGCTCTGGAGTCAATTATACCTGGCCTGCTCTCCAAATCATTGACCTAGCTTCCAATAATTTTAGTGGCATTCTGCCAAGAAATTTATTCTTGGAGCTGGAAGCTATGAAGATTGACTCAGCGATATCACGAGTTGATCACCTGTATGCTGCCAATAGAGTTTTTTGGAGATGATTCAAGCGCACAAGTAGAGATTTACTATCAGGATACAGTCACTCTTACTCTTAAGGGACAAGAAATGTCCGTGCCAAAGATTTGGTTTACCTTCAACTCAATTGACTTTTCGAACAATAGTTTTGTTGGAGGAATCCCTGAGACAGTCGGAGAACTTAAATCTCTTTATCTTCTAAACTTATCGCACAATGCTCTCACTGGCCAAATCCCACCTGCAATTGGAAATTTGAAGCAATTGGGGTCGCTAGACCTTTCATTCAATAAGTTAAGGCACGTCCCAGAGAAGCTCTGAGGCATCCCACATCTTTCATTCTTAAATTTATCATACAATGAACTTGTTGGAATGATGAATTCAAACCTTTGATGATAAATCATTCATGGGAAACAAGGGCGGCTTCCCAATGAACAAAGCTTGCAATATATAAGGACAGAGAAGAAGCATCTGTGCAGCCAGCATCTGAAGACGAGCAAATGTTTAATAAGGCCGACATCTATGTACCCGCTGCATTAGGTATGACAATCATATTTCTACCACTCTTGGTTTCAAAAGGACGGAGAGAAGGTTACAACAAGTTGGTTAATGGACTAATTTTCCGCGTATTTAGCAAGGTTGATGTAAAGAAAAGACGCACTACTAGCATTAGCGAACTATATTGGAAGAAGAAAGCAGGGAAATCTCACACCCAAATTCCAAGTTCAAGAAAATGATTAAAGGCTTTCAGGTCGTTTTATATCATACAATATCTCATTACATGTAGCTGAATGGACGCATTTCCATTGGCCGCTACGGCGACCATGGAATGCCTGACTATTTCATTCCCAATTAGATTAATTGCAAGTGAACATTGCTTCCCCGTTATTTATAGTAGTACTTTTTGTTTGTTGCTGGCTAGATCAGTAAATTCTTGATAAAAAACGATAGTATATAAAACCTATAAAGCAGCTTTTCAGAAAAGTGCAATGTGCTAATTGAAATGCATCATAGTTATCGCGAAGCATGTCATTTATCTTAAGCTGGCAAGGGCATTCTTTCGTTACCAGAAAGTTGTGCTCAGGCATTTCGACAGACGTCTGGTGAGCACAGGTGACAAAAATTTCCACTCATACTTGTCAGGTCCATGTTAAGTGAATTCATGATCCAAAGAAGTCCTTTATAGTAATAGATCACAATTCACAGAGAATTTAGATTCTGGGAATAAGAATCCAACCCAAAATGTTACTCCATTTTCTTTATTGGAATAAGGAGTTGAGCTGCGGTTCAATAAGTGAAAAAAGTACGTAGTAAAGCATTCTATTAATGAGACAAGTGAATTTAAGATATCTAACATTTTGGATACTAAATTGAAAGCTAAACCTACATTTTTGTCATACACCTTAGGGGAAAAAATTAAAATATTTACATGCAAAACGACTTTATTTTTTAACTTTGTGATAAACTTAGTATTTTTGAATGGTTCCGAGAATTAATACACGCCTTAAACCTAATAAATGATTCCAGGTTACTATTTGGTGTCACTAGAGTATCAGATTGAATTAAGATCTTGAAACAAAATTTAGTAGCATACTTGATACCAAAGAGAGAGACATAACAAAAGGAAAAAGAAAAAGACAAAAAAAGAGAGACTTTTAGTTAAAAATCTTATTGTTTATATAAGTATAATATACTAATCAGTAGAGATATCCAACACCTTCCTTAATTAATTTTCTTACACATTAAGAGGACTAGAGTATTATATAATAGTATTCTCTTCATCTGAATCTTCTGCAAAGCAATCCATGTAAGGATATAAATCACAAAGTTCCAGCGAATTAACAATTGGGCCATAAGCTCTACGTTTCTGATCCTCTATCATGTCAAGGGATAATCCCCATTCCCTAAGTTTCTTATCGTTGTGATGAAATGCTAGGCTGTATTCTCCTCTCTGCCCTAATTGCAGGACTTGAAATTCACAAGTTTTCATCCTATTAAGATCCTCAAATTGCTCAATAGTCCACTCGAACCATTTCATTAGGAAGATGCGACTGCTCAGTCCATGTGTAACAATTATGATGTTGGTATCTTGAGATGTATCGTCACAAAACTTCTTCATCTCTATGTCCCTCCTTAAGCATTCCACAAAACCTGCACATTATTGTATGAGTTCAAAATTTTAAGCATTGGTGCCAACTTGTTAGAAAGTATAATTACAAGTAAATATTCATGATAAATCACAATTGGTAACCTGATAAAAAATAAAAATTATGTATTAGGTTAAAGTACAAATTGATACCATAAAAAATCATTAAACTACCCGTGTATATAATTTAGGCTCTTTTTGCATTTATACCACCTCCTTATTTCATTTCCTAGCATATGAGATTAGTAGCATTTCTCTTTTTTTTCTTTTTTTTTTTTTGGGAGGTGGCAGGGGACAGTGGAGGAGAAGACCTTGTGAGCTTGCAAACCGTAGAAAAGTCCAAAACAGATTATTATTTTCTTCACTAGTCAAATCAAGTTCAAGTTTACTGAATAATCCATTCCAAATGAATGCTCAAGGTATCATATACTCCCTCAAGAAAGATTAAATGAAAAAAGACAGCACTCCAAAGTCCAAACGCATAACAACAATAATTACAATCACCCTGGTCTAAACAATTGTTCTACTTTTCGTTCACAATTTAAATTAAATACACGTTGACCATCTTTTGACATGTATTCTTTTGCCATTTCCCTGTTAAGAAAGTGGAAACTACATCATCTTTTTCGAATACTTACCAAATATTTATATTTCATTAAAACATATCTAGTATGGTCCAATTTGGTTCTAAAATTGATTAAAACAGAACTTACTTGATATGCGGTCATAAACTTCAGCCCCAGTTTCACCTCCAGGAACTCTATAATAAAACCTCCCGTACTTCACTCGTTCCTCTTTAACCTTTGCAATACTTGCAGGATCGTGATAGTTACCAAAACTCAATTCTCTGAGCCTGTACTCTTCCTTCACTCCCATCAATTTCCTCTTTGGAAACGATTGGCCCATCTCTCTCAACGTTCTTCTCGTGCGCTCTGCAGGGGAAACATAGAAAAAAACTTTCCAATTGTTAGATTCAACAGCATTTTCAGAAGTGATCAGTTTCTTGATGAGGGATCCAGTTTGCTTGGCCTGCTCAATCCCTTTTTGTGTCAGTTCAATTTTGTGATTTGGGGTTGTTCCGTAAAGGTTAATGTCAGCATTTGCTAAACACTCGCCGTGGCGGACTAGGATTATGCGTTTGGGAAAATGGTTGCTGGTGGTGGTGTGGGTAGTGCCATTGGTTAGCATTTTACCCAGAGACATTATATTAGAACAGATACAAGGGGAATAAGTACAAAGTCTAGTAATGAATTCTATATATTGTTTGTTTGTGTTATTTTGGATGATCATGTAGGAAGTTCAGGTTGTATATATATTGGTTTTTGGTATAGGTTGAAAGTGATGGCAAGCTATAACTTGGACTGAGCATCGGAGACTTAGAAAACGTATAATATAATATAAGCTGGAGTTTTAAAAATTATTTGGACAAGTTAATTACTTATAAGAGAATAGTATGTAAATTTCTACTATTATAAAACAGTTGAAGATATGTGTTTTACTCGTAAATAGTTCCTACAAAAGATAACTAATTACCCCTAGATATACTTTACGTCCAATAAAACAAAGTTAATATCGAACAATACCTTGCGAATAAGAACTAAAATTAACATTCTCTTAATGAATACCCTGCCTAAATATTCTCAGAAGTCTGATCAACTACTTACGTAACATTCCAAGAACTTCCCACATGTTGGCATCCTTTGTCCTTTTCCTCTTTAATTTTGTGTTAAACTTCCTCTTTCTTTAGCGGAAGACTAAGAACCTGTTAAAAGGGACTAGACAATATATATTGATTTACGTGTCCTGCAGAATCATCAACGGCAAATTTTTGTAATAAAGTTACTCTCACTTAAACATTCAAGTTACATCTTTAAAGTTATTATTTGAGAAAACTGAAGGCAATTTCTCTTCCATCAATCAGGCAGGCCACCCATGGGAGATAACTAGGAATCACTTCCTTAAAAATTCTTAATTGAGTGGTAAGAGAATATCTACTTGTCCTTCCTTCTGTTAAATTATATTCTTATGTAAATTTGGGTAAGTAAATATGTAGCTAGGTTATACATATGTTTACAGTTCCACATGAAATTATAAGGACAATTTCAAATTTGTCATAATCAAAAGACTTCCCTAATTAAGCCAATTAACTTTGTTTGTTCTCCTTATATATGTCCTTTTGTTGGAATAACAAAGGGCTAGACTTAAGTATTAAGTCAAGTCAAGTAGAGTCAAGAGTGATGTCCAGCTATATATGTTGTAGGGAACGACGACCCGTGTCCCACACGGTTTTCATTTAGCGTATGAGTAGAGTCAGGTTCTAATTTTGTGAAATTACGTGAATATCACCTGTGCAACCAGCATCCGAAGACGAGCAAATGTTTTGTTGTTTTCCCGAAAAACAGTACAGTTGAATTTGTTCGTGATTTCTAGACAAGTGAATTAATTTGATCCAAAAAGTAATGAAATAACTGATGAAATATAAAATACATAGCCTTAAAATGTAGATGGAACAACAGAGCTAATGAGTCCGGGAACAAGGTTTCTGGGCACAACAATGATAAGATCAAAAGTGAAAGAATAAAATTATATTAAAATACTCCATAGAATGTAGTTTAAGTTAGTCAGAAAATTCGTCCCCTTACAATGATCACTAAGCTCCCTATTTTTAGCTATGTATAGGGAAAGGAAGTCCTAGGATCATGCCATTATTTAATGTCAATTATGATGGTCATTGATGAAGATGTAACGTTGGACAAATATTAAATTCCTTGTAACAGACCATCATCCTTAATGCTGCAAAATATTCTGTATTAAATGTTACCGGGCGCAAAGCATTTAATACTCCATTTATGATCGTTATTCCTTCCGGTGACAAGCGGAACAACTATATTCGATGGCCATCCCCATCTTGTGTTCCACGTGTCCTTCCTTTAAGCGACCACGTGTCATGTCGTATTTTTTCCTATACAGATAGTCCTCCTGCTTTCCGGTGACACAATCTTGAGTTACCGAGAAGTTGATAGAAAGTACCTTTTTGGCGGGAATTATTATAACTCCCTTTGAAGTTCTCTGACAGTTGATTAGATGCACGTCTCTCCGCATTTAATGCCCCGAACACGCGCCATCTCACGATTCATCACAGCTTTTGCCGTATATCGAGGTAATCATGGCCATGAATTTAGCTGCCAAAATTTTACTTATACGCACCATCCTTCTCTTATGTACTTCATAATCTCTCAAACTTCTAATTTGCATCTTTATTTCCCAACTTTTCTCTGATCTTCTTCGAACTAGAAATTTTCCATCCTTTTATTTCAATGGCCTCCTCTTCAAAACGTACTAGTTCTTCAAAGGGCAAGAACAAAACTGAGGATTCTGTTCCTCCAACAGTGAGTTCCATCATTCCAAGAAGGCTTAGTACTTCGAAGGACTTTGAAGAGAAATTTTCTGCTGATATCCCTCGCACATGGGCTGTTAGTAGGTACCCTTCGTCTATTCGCCCTTCCAGTATTCCTGCTGTGAAGGAGGACTGCCGCTGTCATGAGGGTGACATCATTGCTCCTGACCTATCAGAGCGAGTGACCCTTCCCAGGGAAGGGTTTACATATTTTTTCACGTATCCCTTTACTTTAGGTGCGTTTTCTTTGAGCGGAGAGCTTGATTCCGTGATTGCGGAGTTTTGCCTTTGCTACCAAGTGTGTTTGGCACAGGTAAGTCCTTCAGTGTGGAGGACAGTCGCCTGCCTTTGGCGTTTGCGCCTAGAAATTGAAGAGGAACTAACCCTAGCTCATATGATGAATCGTTATTCCCCCAAAATCTTTCGCGGGGGAATGATAAACCTTTGCAAGCGTGGCCACCATGCTTTGTTGTCTAGCATGGATGAAGACAACGACCGTGGGTGGATGGAACAGTTTGTTGCAGTCTCCACCAGTGACATTATTCCAACAATGACTTCATCCTTTCCGGTTACTTGGAACCGCTCTCGTAAGTTTTCTTTTATACACCTTTTCTTACTAGATATCCTTTCATGCTTGTATTGATCCTTCAATCTTCATTTGTTTCAGCGACTCAATGGATCCCACCAATGGTAGAGGGCTTGGACTGGTGGGTTCAAAAGATCTTAGACATCACAACGCCCGAAACCCGTTTGTGGAAAGAGCTGTCAATTAAATACGGGTGGAAAGCCAAAAATCATGGTAACTTTAATTTACCTCGTTTCCACTTTTTGTATATGAAGAACTTGGTTGAACTCTTCTGACATATTCACGAAATTAGGTCTACCTGCGGGGTCAGTTGATATCCCCGAGGAGGATGTTTTGGCTGACCTTGCTGATGCGGTGAGGCTGCTTCAGGAGGCACTTACTCGAACAAGCGTCTCCAGGCCTGCTTCGGGAGCAAACGTTTCTTCACGGAGTCCTCGGCCAGAGAACTAGCAACCAAAATGAAGACGTTCC